CTGGCCGCCAACCCCTTCGCCGCCGTCTTCGCGCACCTGCTCAACCCCGCGCCCGAGCGCGGCGGCGAGGCCGAGCGCACCCCGCTCTCCGGTACCCGCCTACCTACCGGCCTACCAGGACCGGCCCCATCCCCTTTTCCCCCTGCTCTGGCACCACCTTCCTCCTCCCGGGCTGGGGGCGGGCCCTGGCATCCCCCCCAAAAATAAATATTCCCACTCCCACTGGGACTGGGTCGGCCCCAGCACCCTCCTGCTGCTCGAGTACTGCCCACCCCTGGGACTCAGACAGGCTCCAACCCTCACTGGCATTGGCTCCCACTGGGACCAGGACTGCCCCACTCTGCTCTGGCCACTGCCCCTCTTCTCTGGGAGTGGGGATGGTCCTAGCAGACCCCCCCCCCAGTGCTCCAGCCACTCACTCCCACTGGGATCAGCTTTCCCCACTCTAGCTCTGTTCCCCATTGGGGTTGGTCCCAGCATCCCTCCCTGCCAACATTCCTACTGGCACTGGGTCCGTCCCAGCCCCCTTACCCCTGCTCTAGCGGAGCCCCTCACTCTAACTTGGGCAGGTCCCAAAGGTCCCCCCCACCCCAGTGTTCCAGCCACTTGCTCTCAGTGGGACCAGGACCTGCCCCATCCCCCTCTTCCCCCTGCTCTAGCATCACCTTTCTTCTCCCAGACTGGGAGTGGGGCAGGCCCTGGCATCCCCTCCTAGGACTGGGCTCAGCCCCAGCACCCTATCCCCTTTTCCAGTGCTGCCTGTTGCTGGTCCCAACCCCCACCCCTAGCAGTCCCTGTTTCCCCCAGCTACAGCCACCGCCTGTTTTCTCTAGGATTGGGGATGGTCCTGGCACCCATCCCCCGCCGCCCCTCCCCCTCAACTTTTCAGCCACTGATTCCCACTGGGATTACAAGTGTTGTATTGAGCTGAGAAGCACCATAGTTACGGGTTTCTATTTCAAATTTATGGGCATGTTTCCATGAGAAAGAATGTGCATTTCCCCAGGGACCAATAGCAGCATTGCCACTGCTGGTTGTCCCCTGGCATGCCCCTGGACTCGCAGCAAATTGCCCCAGGTGCAGTAGGGGAAGCTGGGTCTGGCCCCAGCAGCTTTACCTGGGGTGCTGGGAGGGGAGCTCCAGCAGCAGCAGTCTGGACATGCAGAGCTTGGCCAGCAGCTGGAGTGTGCTGCGCCACTATTTTTTGGTGCAGCTTTCTTTGGTACCAGGATTTCCCAGTGTCTCATTTTGCTGCTGTGCTGCATTCTGTGGCGTGCAGATTACCATGCACTGCATGCATGCAGTGTTTGAGGCTCTGTAAACTGCACGTTCCCACTTGGGATGTGGCCTCTGGGTTTATCTTGTGAACTGTTTGTAAACCTAATAGTGCTGATGTTGCAGGGCACCACGCACCATCCTTGAAAGGATCTCAAGGCATCCCAGGTTGAGAATCCTTGACAGACCAATAATCCATAATTGGTTGGCTTGTTAACCAAAAGCCCATTTCAGGGGCTCAAGCCTGCCTACACCAGTGATAGTTTTAAATATTGCTGTTTTTCTACTGGCTGAAGAGCTGTCTTCAGCTCTTGAATGAACAAATGTATTTTTTTTTTTAACAGTATGCTTTTACTACATAAATGAACTGTTTCATAGAAATAAAAAATGTAGGGCTGGAAAAGGGACCTCTGGAGGTCATCTAGTCTAAACCTTTGCCTGAGGCAGGATCATCCTTATCCAAACCATCCTATACAAATCCATTGCCTAACACAGATTTATTTCAGAAAATGCTTTTTTTTTCAAAATGATTAGGATGCTTAACCACGTATAATGTGTTGTACGAAAACTATTCATAACAATTTTGCAGCTGTTGCCTGACCCTGCTAATGGTAAGTCTGTGCTGTGGCAGTCAGTGGAGAGCGCTACTTTTCAGAGGGCATGCGAATTTCCTGTGTTGCATCCCTCCCCAGCTACAGACTTCACAAATTAATTTCAGGTTGCTTACCACTACAGCAGTGATCTGTGCGACTACTGGGAGTGCTGTCTGGTTAGCATGCCCTTCAGTAAGGAATATTTGTAATAGGGTCATAAAATGTTTTTCATATATTCTTAATTTACTTCAAATGGTTTCTAGGCTACCAAAGCTACCAGGTTTTCCACTGAGAACTACATACAATTCATTAGTAATGCAAGCCATTGTAGTTTTCAGAGCACAATTGAGGTCCTCTTCAAAGATGATGGTCCCTGTTTTAGGAATAAAAAGAGGCTGTTGAGCATTATTAGCACACCTCTCCCCCCCACCCCCCCGGTTTAATATATGAAACTACAGGTATTGCAATGACTAACTCTTTCTGTTGTTTAGGCTAGTGATAAGCCATTAGGAATGATAAGCCATTGTGATTTTAAATCCAGACTAATGGACACGCTCAAAACCAGAATAAAAACATTGCCTGTTCACTAATTTCATCCTACAACTGTGTTTTAAGAGCCTGTTTTCAGTGTTGACCTGTATCACGGAAGTATTTGATTCAATTGAATTAACATAATGGCACAACTCAAGTGTCTTGGTGGTAGCTCGATTCATGCCTTTAATATTAGTATTGCTTTTCCTATATGAAGTCTACCGAAGGCAGAGTATTATTTGCTGCTGTACAGTCAGTGAGAATTGTTTTATATCTTTGTTTTTCCTGTTTGTTTTTCCCACAGGTTTCTTACCTCCCATAACTCCCTCAGAAAAATTCTTCCTTTCCCAACTGATGTTGGCACCACCTAGGGAACTCTTCAAAAAGACTCCTCGTCAGATTGCCTCACTGGATGTAGGAAGCATGGCCCAGTCAGTAGATATAAGTGGACTTCAGCTAGCACTAGCAGGTAAGAAACAAACTGTTCTAGCCATGCCCTGGCTATTTAAGAAATTATTTGTTTTTCTCCACAACTTAATTATAAAGGTTTTTTGTTAAAATGGATAGAGCTACAATTCTGAGTAATGCAAACTTCAGACATGAAGCATCTTTAAGGGTGTTGCTATGTCTAAAGAACAAGTTTTATATCTGTTCTTGTTTCTTAGGTCAGGGAGAACTTTTATAGAACACAAAAGCCTTTACATTTGATACTTTGTTTCTACTGTCAACATTTTTTTTCATTTCTTTCCAGTTTTGCGAATATCGGTGAACATATGATAACTATAAGAAATGCTTAGTTATGGCCAAAGCTATAACTGCTGTTTCAATCAAATGTTCACTTTTATAAAAGTGATATTTCAGTTCATATTAATGGTTCACTGTTGGGAAAGCTCACTTGATTGCTTGCATCGTTAAAACATTACAAGTGATGGTTATGTATGACTTGGGAAGATAAGGGGCATCTAAGGGGTTTTAGAAGAAGCTTGGGACATCTAGATCAGTGATGCTCACCTTTATGGCCTTGCAGGCCAAATGAGTGGCATGGGGCTGGTGTGCAGCCCCCCCACCGCTAGCAAATTTTCAGATTCATGGGCCAAATTTTATGGCCCTGTGAGCTAGATCTGGCTCAGAGGCTGGAGTTTGAGCACTACTATCTAGACTGATATTGGTGATCATTTCATTTCAGAGGCCTTCCCTCTGAGGACTGTCTTAATTGGATTTTACTGAATATCTTTTGTGAATGCTGAATTTTGCTTTGTTCCCTCCCCCCCCTACCCCAAGCTATTGTGAGTGCCTAAACTTAATTATACCTTGAAATAGGCTGGCTTTTTATGACGGCTGAATATACCTGTGTCGCAGAGCACCTCGGGGCTCTGCTCCTAGAGAGTAGAAACTGCCAGGGAGAGAGAGAGCCCTGGCAGGACTTAACCAGCCCAGCTGAGGGTTGCCAGGCTAACAAGCGCAGCTGCGGGTTGCCGGAGCAACTAAGGGGAGCCAGCTGCCTGGAGGGGGCAGGGCCTGGCCCTTATAAAGCCCAGGGCTGAGCCTAGGCTGGCAGTTCCCTGCCAGCAGCCAGAGAGGCAGGAGCTCCCTCAGCCAAGATATGGGGAGAAGCCTGACTTGCAAGTACAGCTCACGATATCCTTGAGAGGATTGGGCACTATGGTTTAGCCAGGGGGCTTTAGGTTTGCGTTACAGCCAGGAGGCTCTAGTTTATGTTCGGCTTACATATTATACCGGAGGCTTGGGTGAGGCTGTAGGGGTTGGAGGAGGCCTCATAGGGACCCCAGAGGTTTGGGGCCCCTGAGCGCAACCAGTGGGTTGCGGGCGGGGAACAGAGACCCCGGATTGTGTGCGGGGTACGTAGACCCCAGCCCCAGAGAGGGGCAGCTTTGAGAGCACAACCAGTGGGTTGTGGTCGGGGAATAGAGACCCCCCGGATGGTGTGAGCCCCAGAAGGGGGCATTGCTAGGAAGCCCTAGCATAGAGGTGGCGAGCCCCAGAAAGGGGGAGCGCGCTTTAGAGGAGCCCAGTGTGGGCCCAACGAGCCCCCGAGAAAGGGAGGGGACTACTGAGAAGCCCAAGGTGGGGACGGCGAGCCCCGCAGAGGGGGAACGCCCTACTGAGGAGCCCGAGACGGGCGTAGCAAGCCCGGCCATAGGCTAGTGTGGCAACACCCCTCGGACGGAGGCAAGGTGCTGCGGTTGCCCCTTTGCAGAAAGGGAGTAGTGGCACAGTGAGCCCGGATCAGAGAGGGTACCTGTGCGATTGGCCTGAGGGACCGGAGGCCCGCTTGAGGGTCCCGGAGCAGGACCACACCTTTAGAGAAGGCCCAGAGTGGGCTTGATGAGAGTCCTGAGTGAGGGACTAGGTATTAGAGAGAGCCCAGAGTGGGCTAGATTACAGGAGAGGAGGCCCGGGAGAATGGGCGTGTATCGTGACAGAACAACGTCCAGCACATCAGCGAGGCTTGGGGCGTGGTATTAGGGGCTGGTAGGAGCCACGC